ATAAGTCATCCTTCTTCCTCTTCTTGACATTTTAATCCCATTCGGGTGATTCACATAATTTTAAACATCTCTTCTTCTTTTTTCTTCTAGGTTGTTTCACTATCTTTGAAGGCGATACCTTTGTTTTTTTATGTCTTAAGCCAATATTTTTCATCGTTTGTTGGCTTAATTAACCTTTGGTATGCGAGATAAGAACATGTTTTAGAATACCAATAGACACGATAATTATCAAAATTTTACTTTCAAGCTACATCAACAACTATAGCATGTGGACATGGTATCTCATTCATCTCAAACAACCTACAAGTGTATGTTTTCCTCTCTATATGCACTATATATTTATCATTAAAATTGTATATGTTTATGGCCTCATATCCATCATCACCATTATGCAATACTCTAAACTTTGAACTTAGATCTCTAAATTCTTTTATCTTTTCCTAAATCTTAAGCCCAAAATTCTTCGTATACCTAAATACAAACAATCTCCTAGCAGCGAGTTCTTTTCACAATAAGAATCCTAATCTCCTCCAACAAAGACAAAATACTTTTGTGTCTTCTATGTAAAATAAATCCATTCCATGTTTCACCCAACTTATTATCAATTACATCATATTTAACATATGTTTGAAAGTAAGTCTTACACCATTTTTGTGGACACTCTTTCATGAAATCTTCAAGTGTTATCTTGTTATACTTCCTTAACTACTCAAGATTTTCTTCTAAATCTAGTATGGTACTTGATTTTACACAAATCCAAAACTCGCTTCTCAATATCTTCATTATTATGTGCCTTCCTCCATTTAGCAAAAATATGTCCGACACACCACCTATATTCTACTCTAGGTATTAATTTCTTTAGAGCAACACATAATCCATGTACACTTAAAAAATTAACTAGATTAAGAAGACTAATTAAAATTAAAGAAATACCAATGAATCATGCACATTTAGTAACCTTTTACCTATCCGTTGTGAAAGTCCATCCATATCCATTTCCATCTAAAACCCTAACATCTTCCATTAAAATTTGGATGAACTAGATCTAGTTATCTTTGTTTTCCTACTTCACAACAGTCTAACACAAAGGATACATTTGATTGTTTGCATCCCCGTTAAAAGCCGACAACACGTCCCCTTTCAATTGACCCTTTTAAAAATACATCATCTAACCTTATAATTGACTTATACCTTTCCTTAAAGCCTTCTTTCATAGTATGAAAACACACATACATTCTTTTAAACCTATTTAAACCCTCCTCATCCTCTTTTTTTTTAAGAATGATAGTATTATTGTCATTGCATCTTCTCAATTCAACTGCATAATCTTCAAGCCTCCTAAATTCACCCTTCATATCTTCAAAATAAATCAACCGCATCAAATCCTTTACATGTTTGGCTTATGATAGTGTAATATGTACTTTCATATCGGACATACTATCTTCTACAATCTCATGCAGCTTTTAGTTAATGCATTTCTTCTAAGCTTCTTCATAAAATACTGAATAATATATCTATAAGTAACCTTAGAATTTTTGAATAACCAATCACATATGTGTTACGCATCATATGTCTTCACTATCCATTTTTTGGTCCTCCCATCAATAGAAACTAGCGAGCTTTTAAGGACGACGATCATTTTTACAAACAAATCTATACCTATATTTATCATTCCTAATCGGCTTTAAATCTCTCCTACTATTGATGGCACATTTAATCACAACAGACTCTAACTTCTTTCTTATTCTTAAAAATCATACAAAGCTGGAAATGAGAAGGATCCGAAGTTGGGTAAAACCCGATCATTTTGGTTCCTTTTCTTATGCCTAACTCTTCATCACTATTATTGTAGTAGTTATCCTCCTCTTTATTTGAATTATAGTACTCCTCATTCAATTCCTTTTTTAGCAGTTTCAACTCTTTTATTAATTTCCTTCTCTCCTCATTCCTCTTCACATTTCCCTCTAAATTTTCTTTTGCATTTCCTTTTAAGTTTTCCTTCACATTTTTCTCCAGGTTTCTCTTTAACATTTCTCCTTAAGTTTTTCCCTACATTTCTATCTAAGTTTGCCTCTAAATTTCTATCTAACTTAACCTCTAAATTTCCATCTAATTTTCCTTCTAAATTTTCATCTAAGTTTCCCTTCAAAATGACCTTACTTTTACCATCCGACACCGACTTTATCTTTTTCAAACCTTCTCTAATTTCTCTACCTTCCTCATCATCTAACAACATTATACATCCACCTAATATTTTGCATCTTCCACATCATCATATGGATCATTATCAACATCTAAATCATGGACCATCCCACTCTTTATTAACTTTCCCACTCGCCCACCGGACACTCTTTATTTAAAGTCCCATTACCCTTCAAACACACTTTATTTAAAGTCTCTCTGCCCTCACTTATTCTTACCCACTTAACTTACCCATAGTGACTTACATTGATACTATTACCCTCACCAATATTAGCAACACCATGGTCATCTATATGGACGAGTGCTACCTACAACACTAACCATATTTTTTTCATTTACTTCTCGTCCAAAACTACCCTCACCAATCCACTCGTCCATGTTCATTTAGTCCTAGCCTTTTACATACAATTTTGGATTATCATAACCAAGCAATAGGTGGATTGGATCACTTCTCTCATAATATATGTTAAGCACCAACCCTTTACATAACATATTATATATATGCAAACAACTTTTATCATCATTAACTTTTACAAGACTTTATTCAAAATTCAATTATGAGTTTAACTTCCTATAATAAATAGCTTAGCATTTTTCATATCCATAATCCTTAACATATTCTAAAAGCCCTCTAAATTGTATTAAATCAAGAGCTACATTACTTTTCTCAATAACCTTAACTTCACTAAAAAAACAAACTTTTTCGTTTCCTCTTTTGTAATTTAACCCCAAAGCAAGTCCTACAATCTTTGAAGATTCATAAAGGAAAAAGATAAAAAACACATTGTCAAAGACAAATGTAAAGGCAAATACAAAATTTCAAATAATAAACGAGCATAAAACAAAACCCATACAAACACAAATGATGACCACCAAACAAATTTATATAATTTGTTCGAAAATTAAAATTGTTCCCTAAACTGTCGACAAAAACTTCAAAGACCACAAATACATATTTAAATAATAAATAAACATAACAAAATATTAAACTCATATAATAACAACCTATTTTGACAAAACCCATAATGAAATTCCACCCAATATACAAAAGAATTAAAAAAATAAAAAGAAAACATATTACTTACCCTATTTCGAGAGTCGCAATTTGTTTTAATTAAAGATGAAAGTTAAATAAAACAAAAAGTTAAAGGAGAAAGAGAGAGGAAAGATTAAGGGGGAATGATGATTAGCGTTTAGGTTTCTTGAAATTGAGAGAATGAGAATTAGGGTTTGGGTTTTGTGAAATTGGGGAAATGAGGATTAGGGTTTGTGTTTTGCGAAATTGGGAAAGGAGAAGCGAGAAATTAGGGTTGATTGCAATCGAAGGTAGGAAAGAGAGAAGAAATGAGTAGAAAAAGCTGAAGCGAATGGGAGGAGAGGGGGAATTTGGGGGTTTTTTGGGTTTAATAGGTAAAGATAAATTGGTATTTTCATAACCTATTTTTAGGTTTATTATTACTTAAATAATTAAAAATCCCTCGAAATTTTTTTAATTTTCCTTAAAAATCAATTTGGGCTCGCTTTGCCATGTGTCAACTCGTCATTGGGTAAATCTTACAATGTGTGCCTACGTGGCACATTAAGGTTTAAAACAACAAAAAAATAAAAGTATAACACTTAAATTGGATAGAAAAAAATTTTAATTCTCAATTAAAAAAAATTCAAATTGTATGAGTCTCGATATATGTAAAATCTCTTAAAATATCGAGTCAATGTCGATAATATTTTTAACCTATCTAAATCTTAGGTCTATAGCGTTTCTCTAATGTAGTGCCTTTACTGACAGGAGGAAGCACTTAGGCTGGTGTCCTTTATGGACTCTCTACTTTCGGTTTCTTAAATTTGTTAGTATTATATTTAATGTGGTGTAGCAGCCAAGACAACAAAGGATACAACGTAAAACGAGTACCAACAGTTGTTTAATCCATTACACTTTGAGACCACAGTTCTAAATGTTGGCATTTCAATATGTCCAATTTCATAACTTGGTTCGAAACATACCAGTTGCTACTCTGAATTTGGCCCATGTTTCTTGGGGCACTAATCTTGACTTCTGTGTGTTTTGTAAAAGTGCATTGGACTGAAAAAAAAGTATCAAATTGATGCTTTCCTGAGTTCTTTCAATTTGATGCTTTTTCAACCCGAAAAATACTTTCAAATTTGCAGCGGTGCAAATGTAGACTAAAAAAAGCATCAAATTGATGCCTTTCAAGGTTTTTCAATTTGATGCTTTTTCAACTCACATATTTTGAGGAGTACTTCTAAAACGCAGCACAAACGCATTACTAATTTAGATTGATTTCTTAGTAGGTATACCATCCATGGCATAAAGCATGTATAGAATTTACTCTGCTATCGCCTTTGAAGGAACAATAACATCACAAATATATGTAAGAAAAGATCTTTGATAGAACGCTCAACCAGCAATAATTTGAAATCAATTGTACATTTTATTGAAGATTAAAAAATAATTGTATATAACTTACAAGAATTATTTGTTCCCCTCTAGCAACTTCAATGCCCTTTCGTATTGGTCAACCAATAATCCTGTATCATTGCAGTATCAATTACAACATACTCATCCTATTTTTTCTCTCCAAGTGCAAAAGAAAGTGATTGCCATGCAGCATCCTCTCCAGCAGAAACTTTCATAGACAGGCTGTGTATTAGCAATCTTAACCGTGCTGGCATCTCAATGGGTGATTGGTGAAGATGAGTTTTCATAATGCTTGAGAAATAAGATTTGGACCAGGTTGTTCTATCTCATTTACGGGGCCATTGCAGCATGCCTTTGGAACTCAAGAGCCAAAAACCAACTCTTTCAAAGACCTCAGAGGTGAGCTGTATCCATATACTACAGTGTCTCTCCATAGAGCCATACCTGTAATGAAGGGAAACTCTAATGTTCAGGGCTATCAACAGCAGGAGCATAAGCGTAGAATATTGCTAATTTGCCCTCTTTTTATGGGCGTGTTGGGATAGGCCGGAGGCTGGGTGAGGGGTTTATCTATGCTAAATTCCAAATGTGAACTATATAGGGATAGAAGGGCTACCTATCCATGAAACCAAACCAGCTGTTGCTGCCAAAAGGAATTTCCCACTGATGCTGTTGAAACTGAAATCATAATTGAAGTTGTTCAGTTGATAAGACTGAGCAAGGAACAATACAAAGTAGCAATTGCAGATGGAGATTCGCTGATAGAAGATAACTTACTAGTACATGCATAAAATATTCCCATAACCATAGAAAAGTGCAGCCCATGTCGCACCAGTGAACCTGCAATAATTGGCAGATGGATCATCTAATGCATTGAAATATCACACAAGCCATTCTAAAAATGGTTGCAACTTTAGACAGGCTGTGTAGTAGCAATCTTAACCGTGCTGGCATCTCAATGGTGATCGGTGAAGATGAGTTTTCATAATGCTTGAGAAATAAGATATCCTCAGCTTGCTTTGTTGCACATGATGGACTGTATCGCTTAAACTCCAACCACTAGGCATTACTTGATTATTTGCAAAATAATCAATATCCTTATGGCTCATTCAGGTCGTTCATGATTTAGACAAATGGAAAAAAATTGGCTTTTGTTCACAAAGCTCCTATGCACAAAAACACGGATGCTATTTAGAAGATGAAGGCCTCCTGATACTGTTAGACCTAATAAAATGTCAAGAGAGTGCTATAGGGAATCCAATAAACTAAAGCCACGTAATGTGGCTATCCACGCGATGTAGCTAACCTCCAAAAGTCCACAATGGTTCAATAAGAAGATACACAATGGAATTTCTAGTATGTTCTATGTATATTCAATATGCTATGACTCACAATTGAATCTAGGGAGTTGGTTTATGGTGATACTCATTCTTCCAGACAATGCTCCCGAAAAACCCTCTTAGTGTCACACCAGAAAAGAAGAGGGAGGGGGAGGTAAAAGCAAGTTGTTACCAAAAAAGTTATCTGATTTCCACCAACAAGAAGAAACTTGGAAGACTAATATCCAACATAAAAGCAATCATATCGAGAATTCTCAAGAGTTGAGATTATAAAAATGAAGCAAATCAACATTAGCTGTTCTAGGAAAAAGGTGTTAGCATGGGAGATGATTACAGTGACGAACTAAGGATGCATAGAACTTCGGAATTTTATAAAGTTTAGCAAAAAAATGGGTATATCTTAAATGTAGAAGAATAAAGGGGAAAAAGCAGTACCACATGAAGTCGCGAATAAAAAGGGCACGTGGGATCATAAGTCCATTTCCAATCATAGCAAGCAGCATTGAGAAAGCCGATAAGCCTTTAATATTATCAGGATTCAGAAAATTTGTCCACTGAATAAGAAGCATGAATCTTGGTCAGGGATACAAAGATTAAGTGCCTGATACGATAAGCCAAAATTCTCAGAGAAAGACCATATATATTACCATTTGTGACACTGGCATCCACATGAAGAGAAGTGTTGCTGTCCATCCAGATATTGCTCCAACAAATTTTACACCTTTTTCAGAAAGTTTCCCTGTTCGTGCCTGCAAATCTTAGCAGTTAAGTCTAAAGAAGTGCTGAATCAAAAGGAAGATTTCCTGTGAAAAACAAAGAAAGGAGAGGGGAATTGCAAAATCATAAATCTCAACACGCATTTCAAACAGGTTTGCTAGGCATCGAGCGGTATTACTTTAGTACAATCTCATTGCGATTACTCATTAAACACCCACAATCTGAAACACAATATTATAATAATGAAGGATGCCGGTACTCAATCAGTTCACATATTTGCTATCAGCTACGAAATGCCCTCTTTGTGAGTGCTTACAACTTCTCCCTTCATGTGATCTCAAGTTAGTAATCTTAGAAGCAAATTCCATTTGAACAGAATAATGTTCTCTCTTTGTTAATCTTTAAGAGTCACAGATGACATCTGATTAGATCAATATGACCAAAGACGGAATAAAATTCCAAATACAGAATAAAACCCGAAAAGCTTACCATGATAACAGCAGCAACTGCCGCAACAAATGACATCGCCCCTGGCAAAATGGAGTTTGGTATATATGGAACAAATGTAGACCACATAACCTGAACTCAAATTCACAAAAACAATAAGAGAATATTCCTTAAATATATAAAGTATATCAATGTAAAACATTTACTCCCACAACAGCCAAGATGAATGCACAAAGAGACAGACTCTACATTAAGACGAGAAAAAGAATAGATGCAGAGGTATTTAGTGGTGTGTGGAACTGAGTCAGAAAATGGAATACCTGAGGAAGGGCCGATAATCCACAAACAGTGATAAAATCTTCCCAAAAACGCCAGATTCCAGTATTGAGCATTCCAAAGTAATTCAAGAAATTTAATACCAAACCAGCTGCTACAACAACTGAAGTGACCACAAAGTAAGGCAGAGGCATGGCCTCTGCCATTGCAAGCTGAGCAATTACAATGTAAATCGAAATCACTCCCAGCGTCTGGACCACAATAGCCTCGGTTTCCCTCTTCTTGGCGAAGTAGGAAAGCAATGAAAGGTTTCCAAGCAAACCAGTTAACATCCCCTGCATTTCAGGATGTGGGACAACAATCATATCACTTGTGGGCGAAGAAGGTGCGAGTGAGTAAAAATAAAAATATAAGGAAAAAAGGGGGAAAAAATAGTGAGAAAATTACCAGCCATGGTACAGCCCAAAGGGCAGTTTTATTTCCAGACATAAGATTGTTTGCATTGAGAATGATTTGTGGCATTTGTAGTAACAAAAAAGGGAAATTTGCTCCTCCAGAGAATTTGGCTGTCCAAAAATCCCATTCTTCAAATCTCTTACTATTATCATTCTTTACCTTCACTGATGGCCCCTTTTCAAACCACAAACAATAAAATCCTTAATTTATCATCATAACATAAAATTTACCAGTAGAATTAATCAAGATTAGTAAATTACCTGGTTAAGAGGGTGAGGGACGTCAGAGTCAAGAGCAGGAACTGGACTGAGTCGGCCATGAAGTGAAGTTAGAGAGTATTGTGCGTTAACATGGACGGAGGGCTTGGGTAGAAAAGAATGAGAATGGAGACGAGGGCAACTTGGGTACGGTGAAAGGGAGTAGCAGGGAAATGGTGCTGCTAGTAGTGACTTGTTAGCAGCAGCAGCAGCAGCAGCAGCTAGGATCAGAGAATTTGCCATTTTAGCTTTGAAAGGAGAGTCACATAATCAGAGGGGGCAAACGACGGAGGTCATTTTTATATCAAAAAAAAAAAAAAGGGAAAAAAAATCATCAAGGTGGAGACAGTAGATTGGGCGGTCAGGGTGTAAGATCTCGAGGTGGTGACGTGGAATGGTGATGGGTATTTAGCTCATTTCGTAGGGGGTTTCATGTCATATTATGTCTCTCGAAGCTATAGCAAAATAAGACCTGCACTGTCCATTTCATTTATTTTATTTTTAATTATTATTTTTCGAGTAAATTATGTTATTTCATTGATTGGACCAATCAAGCTTAACCATTAATTAAAAAGCTCCAAACAAAATCATTTTGCACAATGTATTTATTTTTACATATAAATCATTTTTGAATATATCTAACCTAAAACAAATTATCATTGAACACTTCATAACACATCTTTCATCATTTATCTTCTTTTTAAAAAATAAAATTATGTTTGAAAAAATTCAAATTGTGCAAAACGATATTGTTTAAAATATCCAATTAATGATTAAAGTTTAATCGTCAATCGTAACAACTGACTTGTAACTTAATTAAAAAAAAATTTATTATCGATGAAAAACAATACGTAAAACAGAATTATCATAATATTTTTTATGGAATGTATTCTTAGTTTATTTGTAAATTTATTTTCATTAATAAAAGGTAAAATTTGTTAGATATGAAGTTTTGTTCAGGTTATATAATTGATTGTTTGAAGAAAGAATATTTTCGAACAAATTAGTAGGTCAATTAAAATTAATTTTTTTAAAATAATTTTAGAAAACGCATATTTCATATCAACCAAATACATTTAACAAAATTTAGATTAAAAAAAATAATTATTAGACCAACTCCTAAAAAGCACACTGTGTTTGTCCTGGAACATGAAAGGAGCACACCGTGACCCATTTAAATAAATAAAAGGGCAGAAGCAACGGTGGATCTGATCCTGTTCCCGTACTAGGACCAGGACCGGAGGGGCCGAGGTGAGGAAACTTAGTACGCACTTCTCGTTGAGTTGACTTGGTACTATGTTGATGGATCCCAAGGAAGACACGATGGGCTTTTACGGGATCACGCGAACACGTAATGGCCATGCATGGGTGTTGCTGCATTCAGTCACTCAACTCACATGGGCCCTGGCATTTTGACCTTTTATTTAGGGCAAATAACTTAATTTATTTATATAATGTTCAAAATTATCATTCTGTTTTTAATTATATTTATGAATGATGTTTAAGTATTGAATCTATTTCTCTGATGATGATGAATAAAGTTTTTAATTAAAATACTCTCTGTTGGAATACTAACAAAAAAAAATTTAAGAATTTCATAAATGAAATATGCAAATCGTATCACTTTAAGTGAGATTTTTTATAGCATTTCAGTCAGAGATATTTTAATAAAAATTTTGATCTGGTTAAAAAAATTTATTAAAAAGATATATTGAACACTTCAAAATTATTAAAAAAATGATAAATATAATTGAAAACGGTATATTAACAAGAAAACTAAAGTAAAATTATCTCATTCTTGTTCATTTACTCGTTTGAAACACTATAGATTGTGAGGTATTTAACTATTCATGCTGACTCAAACTCCCCGTTACTTCTACTCGTTCTCTTTATCCTACTTGCTCTTTGTCATTCATTCTTTCCTCAACCATTCTCTACCGCTGGATCCTTCATTGTTCTTTGAACAGCTTTTTCCGTTTTGATCTTTCTTTCTATTCTTGCAAAATTACTCGTTCAAATTTATTGTTTTGTACATTTTTTTTCAACCGTCCGATTCAAATTGATTACTTTGGAACCATCCGATTAAACATTGCTCTTTTTCAATCTCGATCATCCATTTAAAAAACCCTAATAATCTCAATCATTAAATCATCATGCTATATAAGTTCATTTTATTCTATTCTCACGATGCCCCTATCTTCCTAGACATCATTGTGCACCATTCTCCTCTTCACCCCGGATCCGCAATCGCTCCCACCACCACCACGGCCCGACGTTGACCGTCGCCCACCCATCACCACCACATCATTTTATCCCGATCTCACCAATCCAACTTCCTCTATTTTGACTCATTCTCTCTTGCCTTTAGTCGACTCTATGCGAACTTCCACTATTTTAAAGTGAGTTATTCAATAATCATTTATGCTTGCAAAGCTTTATTTTTTATTGGTTTTTAAATTTTTCTCTTGATGTTTGCTTTGATGTTGTCTCTCTCGCTACTCCTCCACTTTTTTAGAGATGACCAATTTTTTATGGACTTTTTGCTTTGTTTGCTTTGGGTGTTTGATTGAGCGAGTGTCGCCTTGAAATTTAGTTTTGGTGGATTTTTGGTATTTTGGTTTATATTGTTTTTGAGAAATTCAAATGGGTTTTCCTACTTGATGATGAAGGTTGATGGGGGTTTGGAAAAAAAGTGATTTGATCACTAATTCACACTTTTAATTTCTCACCAAGTGCACGAGGTAGTGCACAAGACTCATATGAATCACCGATTTTTCCTCTTATTTTTCCTACTTGGTGATTCATTGTTGTTCACTTGCCTATGCAATATTGGAGAACTAACCCTAGCAAAATTAGATTCCCCAGTGTAGTGCACGATACTCTTGTGAATCACCGGATTAAGATGATTCAAACCCATAGCTTCGGAAGTGATCTTGATGGGGACCTCTACTTTGTCACACGGGATGAAAACCTTATTCCTCCAAGCAAAAGGAGCTAGACACCCATGCAATATGATGCTTGTAGAAGCCAAACTCCTTTCTTGCCTCGTCAATCATAAGGTAGCTATGTGCTTTATTCAAATATCACTTCTAAATTTTATGGAATATTATGGTGTTTGCTATGTTATCCGTATGTATTTTGTTATTCCTTTTTTATTTGATCCACTTTCTACACCTCCTTGCTTTATAAAATGAAGCCTAGCTCGAATATCAACCCTTGTGATGGATCTTGATATGAGTTTTTATTGTATTTAACACACTTGAATGCCCTCTCGTATTTTTTTTCTTTTAATCCAGGATCTACAAATACAATTCTCGGGTTCAATATCATCTAACTTTCCGAACTACAAGTCCTTTGACTGTACCTTAGATGGGACAACACTTTTTTTCTTAACCAATAGCATGCATCAATCATAGGGGCCATTAGCTCATGCAATGTTAGAAGTTTACGGCAGTATAGGTGTAACCCCAGTGAAAATTCTTAACCGTAAAATGACGCATATTAGAATATTTAGATAGATATATATATTAAGAGTAAGTATAATTCTCATTACACCATGAGAAATTAATTCTTGAAATGTGTGATTTATGTTAAATTAATGTTATTGTGCTTGAGATTAATGGTTTAATTATTAAAGAAATCAAATATGCAAAATCGGTGTTTTGAGGACTATATTCTACTCGAATTTTATGTGATCTATTTAAGGACTTTAGAGTGATTTATGAGTAATATTTAAAGAATAAAAGTTGTTCTTCTATGTGTCTACTAGCTTTCTATAAAATTTCGTGATTTTTAGACCTATATATAAAGAGTTATGGCCATTTTAGTATAAGCTAATCTTGAAGCATCACCGCTGGAACATTTTTGGGGAAGAAAATTCCAAGTTTAGGGAGAGGGATTTCTGAACTTTAATGGAAAGAAATGTGTTTAGTTACTTTATTTACTCTAATCAATTAATTAGGACATCTAAACCCACTAATTAATGAATTAAGTCTAGATCACCCTAAATCTCTCAAATCCGCCACCCTCTCTCTTATAACTTACCAATAACTTTCCACTCACCCAAATTAAATTAAGCCATTTGTACACCTATTTAGCTATAAAGAAATGAAGAATATATATATATATATATATATATATATATATAGAAATGGAGTACATGGATGTCATTTTGTTAGTTCAAAACCGTAGCTCACAAATAAGAGAGAAAATAAAAGTGAGAAAGAGTGAAACGACAAAAGAGGAAAGGAAAAGAAAAGGAAAGAAAAAAAGAAAAGAAAGAAGGCAAAACAAAGGATATTATAACCATACCTAAGCTAAGTAAGTGGGTTTCTTTGGTTTATTTATGCTTTTACATGCTCATTTTTGTGTGTATAAGTTAGGTATTCGTTGAGTTGTTTGCGTATTGTTAAGCTTAGTTTATGTTGGTGGTCGTTTGATGTCTTGGCTTGCTCTACTTATGGATGTTTTGTAGATGATGAATTGTGACGTTTATAATGCCTAGTACATGTCCAAGTGTGTGAAAATGATTTGAATTGGACTTGGACTAAGATTTAATTGAACTAAAACATGATTAATGTGGGTTAGAATGAATGGCCAAACCGAGTGTTATTAAGGAGTAATTTCTATCCGACTTTGATATTGCCTATTCAATGACTTTAGAATGATTTATGGGTGAACCTCAAAGAATAAAATTTTTTTTATCTATGTCTTGAATAATTTCCTGTAAAATATTTTACTTATTAGGTTTATATAAAAAACGTTATACTCATTTTAGTACGACTTGTCTTTGGTGAACTCTGCTAGATAGATTGAATCTTAAACTTCAAAATTATGTTGTGAATTGTGTATTTGTTATTTAAATCTAATTTTTGGATATGTTATGAATCAATATGTCTACTTTCTAAGAAAAAAAGGATAGAATTTAATTATGCTCATAAATTAGTACGTCTCCTACTTGATTATAGGTTGTCCTACAATAAACCGGAAATTGGATAGGAGGGGAAAATGAATTCCTATGGTTTTCACTAAAGAATCCTTTCAGCCTAAGTAAGAAAATGAATAAGATTGAACCCATTTTATGTAATTAAGGGCATAGGACTCAATTATAATTTAATTAGGTATACATTAATAAGTTGGGATGAAAAAGTAATCTTTGGCCATTTTAAGGACCTATTCGGCTTAAACCCTAAACTCGTGAGGATTTGGATTTCAATCCTTCATTTCCATAATTAATGGTTTGAGTACACCCTAATAAGTATAAGAGGACATTTAGATAGGAAAAATTGCTAGGTAAATCAAAATTTTGACCAAGAACATTAAAAGCCTAATTCATCCCAAAATGCCCCAATTTGGGTTCGGAGAAAAAAAATGTCACCTTAGTATGTTTTAAACTGGTGTATGAACTATATGGGGAAACCAGCTTAGGTTGGATATCGAGAATGAAATAATGATGTAGATGGGTTGGATATTGAGGACCAAATAACGGTGTAGGGTTTGATATCTAATATCCTTGGTACTCGTAATTGTGGTATCACGTGCATCAATGGGAAAGAAATGGAAACAGAATCAATTAATTGAGAATGGAGTTGTATGAATAGGTTTGGTAACCTAATCAAATAAAAAGGGGTTAGCGAGTTCAACTGTGTTCTTACTCTAAACCGTGTGCTCGTACTTGTTAGGCAATCGATTTTCGCTAGCGATGGTTACAATGAGGGATAATTTCGTTGTTAGCATTCGATGATTCGATAATAACCTATAGAGTAGACCGCTAATACCCAAGGTATCCAAAATTAAAAATTGATGAGAATGATGAAAAGTCGGAAAAGTATTGCATATCACGTGCATCACCCCACTTACCGAGCTTTGGCTCACCTCGTTATTATTTGCATGTTATGACGAGTAGTGGTGATTGTAATACCAACAAGGACGTTGTCGGATCCTCCAAAAGGGCTCGGGGGTGACATAAACCTTAGAAGATTTTATTTTGTTTGTAAATTTTAGGGTTGGGGTGTCAAAGAACATTTTGATGGTGTTGTAAATAAATTTTATAATTTCTTCCACTCGTATTGTTAATATTATGTAAATTATTTTGTACGTGTTTCATGGTATGATAAATCCTTAACATATGAGCACATATGTGTCTAAGGTTAATTCGAAGATCGATCATGTCGGCGTGACATGCCTCTCCTAGTTACTCCTATTTAGGTAATAGAGAGTGAACCGGGGTGGAGGCGTCACAATAGGGGTACAGGTTCAAATTTTAATAGTAACTACATTGTGCAAAGATGTCGAAGGATGGGACTTCCCAAACTCGTTTCCCCGGATTTCACATAAAACTAGGCATCCACATTTTTCTATTAAAAAAAAGAAAAATAAATTTTTTTACATTGCCGTATTGGTTTATCCAATAGCACAAAATTTTGTTTCTAAAATTCTTAAACAACTTTTCCTCTTAATTAAATTTGCTTTTAAAATAAAATACCTTTTTTTCTTAGAATCTCGGAGTTGCGTAGCATTTTTTGTTAGAAGTAACTCGTTGGCTAATGACTCGAAATGTGTAGATATTGGCCCATACATCTGGATTTTACCCCAGTGGTCAATACATGGTAGTTACTTGGTTGCAAGGGCCACTTGGTTATTGATGAAATGAAGAATATGAGCTTAATTAAAGAGATGAAGGTGTTTCCTGGTGTTGTCGAGCTTAATGACATGCAATTGGGTTTTAGATGAGACCTATTATATAAATTGCAATAATGGATATTTATATGGGAGTGTCATTTTGTGTATGCTTTATTGGTATTTATCTTTGCCAAGCCATTTACATCGAAACTAGAAATCGGACTAATGTACCGATTAATTTTATTTTTTCAAGTTATAGAAACGAGTGCCTAATGTTATGTTTTTGCACAATGATGTCTTTTTTGCTACTTGTTTAGAAAAAGTATAGCTATTTTCCGTAGAAAAAAATGATAAAAACATGTATTATGACTATTAGTGTGGCGCCCCAAGCACTCTTGCCGATTACTTAAAAGGCATGGTCGGGTGCACCACGGTTTAAAGATCGAAGTCTCAAATTTAATCCCATACACATACACAATGTACTGAATATCATTACAAAAATTACAAAATATAATTTATAATTAAAGGTAGATCCTATAATTGTCGTGTCACACAAGAGCCTTTTTCTAGGAGGAACTAGTAGCTTCCTTATCGGCATTAGTATCATCTTTATCTCGTCATGGCATGAAATAGACATAGAGTGAGCCAAAGCTCGGTAAGTAGGGTGATGCACGTGATATACAATGATTTTTTGACTTTCTCCACTTCGACTCATTAAATTTTATTTTCGAGTACCTTAGGTATTAGTAAGTCTACTCTATATTTAATCCGGGTGAACCGCG